GTTTCACTCTTGTTGCCCAGGCTGGAGTGCAATGGCATGACCTTGGCTCACTGCAACCTCTGCCTCCTGGGTTCAAGCAGTCTCCTGCCTCAGCCTCCTGAGTAGCTGGGATTACAGGTGCCCTCCACCACGCCCAACTAATTTTTTTGTATTTTTAGTAGAGATGGGGTTTTACCACATTGGCCAGGCTGGTCTTGAACTGCTGACCTCAGGGTGATCTGCCCGCCTCGGCCTCCCAAAGCACTGGGATTACAGGCGTGAGCCACTACACCTGGCCATTTAAGCAGCTTTTTACGTAGCACTGAAGTGATTCCAGACACAGTCTGCTACATGGAGTGAAAGCCCCTTCCCGTTGAGAATATGACACCCAAGACTGAGAGCTCAGGGTGTGATGGGGCCTCAGCCCGTCACCCTCTAAGCCTGGATGTCTCATTGGTGACACCAGCACTGCCATCCAGCTAAGATTAAAGGTCACCTAGAGCTGTGCTGTCCAGAATGGGAGCTGCTAGCCCCACATGGGTACTGAGCTCTTGACACGGGTCTAGTGTGATGAGGAAACTGACTTCTCCATTTAATTTAGATTTGGCTGGCCACACGTGGATACTGGCTGCCACGCTGGGTGGCTCAGCTGAATCGGACCCACCCTTGACTCCCAGCATCACCATCCAAGCACCGTCCAACTGTGGGACAAGTGACACAGCCTTTCCAAAGCTGTGTCATCTGTCAACTGGGTTATCAACAGCACCTGCTCCGTAGACCTGTTCGGAGAACTCAGCGAGGAAGGGTTGGAGGGATTTTAGTGCAGTGCTTGGCACAGCTCAGTGAGCATTGAATAGTGGGTGCTGTAACTCTGCTGCTGCTTCTCTTTCCTCCCTAGATATCAGTAAGCAAGTCATGTCCTTTGGGCCAGGCACGGTGGCTCACACCTGTAGTCCCAGAACTTCGGGAGGACAAGGCGGGAGGATCACTTGGGCCCAAGAGGTCGAGGCTGCAGTGAACTAGGATCTTACCACTGCACTCAGCCTGGGCAACAGCAAAACTAACACGGAAAAGGAAAAGGGATATCCCTTTAGGCGTCAGGGTACAGAACTGCCGCCCCTCGCATTTCCACTTGGAGGCATTTCTGCTAGAACAACACAGGCCTGGGCTCATCCCTGCTCTGGGCTCCCTTGTCTCCAGAGGAGGAGGTGGGATTGGGATTTTGGGACCCTCCTTTTTGAGCCTCTCTGTGCCCGGAAGCCCAGAATGCATGAGCTCTGGCCTGGACTTTACCAGGCAGAGGGGAGCCTGACCCTCACCCACGTTCTTTGAGTGACTGAGTGGGCATCTCTCTCAAGTCGTGGGGCCAAGCATTCACTAACCCACAGTGTAAGCTGCACACATAAGCCTCACGCCCAAGAGAGCTTTATCAGGAGGGAAGGTCATTGTTCAATTTCCATCTGACTGATTCCCGCTTCCACCTTGTATCTCCCATTTAGAATTTGGCAGCAAGAACAGATGTTTATCAGGTCACTCTTACACCCCGACACTGGGGGCAGTCTCGGGAGGTCCCAACTTCCTTCCTCACCCTGTTTGTGCATCTGCTCATTCCCCTCCCACCATGACTGGAGAATGGAAGTTACGGTAATCCCGGTGGAAAGGAAGTGGCACTCACGTCAGCTTCTGCAGGGCGCACTGGGAGACCCTCAAGGCATCACTGAGAGGTGTCACTCCCTGGTCTGTCACCTTGTTTCCTGCCAGGCTCAGAGACTTCAGGCTGGGAGAGGTCGTAAGGATTTGGGAGATCTTCAGGTAACAGGCGTGGGTCAATCCACAGCGATCCAGCCTGCAGAGACAGGCAGCATGAAGCAATCCCAGCTCTCGCCCAAAGCAGCCCATTTCCCCTCTACTCAGCACACGCCAGCGGCACTGGCCATTTTCCTAGTCCTCGGACTCTGTCTGCTCCTGCCTCTGGGCCTGAAAATTTGCTATTCCTTCCATTGCAACCTCCCCTCCTCCCCCCTCCCTCAGGTCTTCATGGGGCTCATGTCCTCATTCATGTCTCTTGAAGGTCGCCTTTCGGGTAAGCCACACCTTAAACAGTGCCTGCCCCACCTCCCTCCATTGTTTCAACATTCATAGCAACGCACCCCAGCCTTTTTTTTATTTTTATTTTTTACTTTTTTTGAGACAGGGTCTTGCTCTCGTCACCCAGGCTGGAGCGCAGTGGCTCAGTCTTGGCTCACTGTAACCTCCGCCTCCCGGGTTCAAGCAAGTCTCCTGCCTCAGCCTCTCGAGTAGCTGGGATTACAGGTGTCCGCCACCACACCCGGCTAATTTTTGGATTTTTAGTAGAGACGGGGTTTCACCATGTTGGCGAGGCTGGTTTTGAACACCTGACCTCAGGTGATCCACCTGCCTCAGCCTCCCAAGGTGCTGGGATTACAGGCGTGAACCACTGCGCCTGGCCTGTGTTGAATTTCAGACAGAACTTTTAGAGCTCTCCAAGCCTACACATGCTCCTGCCATGTGTGCACACATCATTCTTTCTGTCTTGTTTTGTTCTCCCTGTGCTGGCCTGTGAGCATCAGGAGAGCAGGAATCTCGTTTCATTCATCAGCACATCCCAGGAACTTGTCGTAGTACTACACGCAGAATCAAGCATCTGTCGTTATTGAATAAAGGAAAGTTCCAACTCCTCAATGTGACAGTGAATGGAAACCCTTCACAGTGTGGCCCAATCCATCTTTCAATGTCAAAGTCTACCGTTTAGAGACTTAGCTCATCATCCCATCCCTCTGTACAATAAATACTTTGGGGAATACGGGCCAAGTGTTGGGAATAGAGCAGTTCTAGGTTCTGGGGCTACAGGAGTGAAGAGAATAGAACAATACCCCTGCCCCTGTGTGTTATGAGAAGGGAAATTCGTTAGACTTCCAGGAAACTGGACCTAAGTGACTTCAATGCTTTTTCCTTTCTTGGCCCCAAATAGCCTAGATCCATCTTTTCTGACAACGTGTATATTTATTCTTTGAATCCAAGCTCCAGCTCTCTGCACTTGTGGTGCAGAGTGAGCAAAAGAGTGAGCATGTAGCTTCCTCCAATCTGTTCCCAGATAAACCCCACGTGAGGTCAGGCACAGCATTCCTGACCTGAGACAACATCTATGCTTTGGCCAATTTCCCTGGGTTACATCTTTTTAAAGTACAGTTCCCTGGCTACCAGGCAAACACACACGGTGCAAAGCAAATTCTTATTATTCTTCGATGTTAGTTGATGTGCCAACTAACAAAGCTCAAAGCAGGGCTTGTACTTGTCTGTCTCAGAATATTTGGGAGGGTGCAGCAGGTGGATCACTTGAGGTCAGAAGTTCGAGTCCAGCCTGGCCAACATGGTAAAACCCCCATCTCTACTGAAAATACAAAAATTA